GAATGGAGAGTTCCATTGACTTTATTCTTTGTTTGGTAGATGGAAAAAGGCTAAACTTCACTTATAAGTCAATACATAAGCCATGATAGGAAATTTGGAACCCCAAATTTTGGTAAGAAAAATCTACAGAATATATTTATTTTATTATTATTATTTTTTTTTTTTTTAATTTCAGGTCAACAGACTTGCATTGCCTCCCTAAATCCAATATCAATATTACTCTGTAGATTTTTCTTACCCAAATCTGTATTCCCTCTATGCATCATGGCCACAAATTCATTGTAATCTATCCTGCCATCCTGAAAAATAAAAAATAAGCACTTATTAATGGTGCATGAACACCCAAATACTAATTAAAATAAGTAAATAGTAAGAAACCTTTAGTTGTGGAACATCTACATTAATCGGATAAAACATTGTTATGCTACGTTAGACTAGATAGGATTGGAGGAATTAACAAATTTGACTATTCGGGCTTTTATTTTCTTATTCCATTATAAAATTTGAATGAAAAGACTTTAAGATCGACATGTCTATTTGTACCATGTCATCTGAGATTGACTATTTTATATGCTAAAATATACTGATAACATTAGAAGATCGAGATTATAAAGTTAGAGTGACGGTAGACGCACTTACATTGTTTTGATCAGCTTCTTGGATAATTTCATCCAAGTGAACATCCTCCATGCCGAATTCTTCACAAGCCTTTTGCAGTTCATCTAGTGTAATGTAACCACTTCTGTCTTTGTCGAAGTATGAAAAAGCTGTAAATAGATGATCTTCCTTCTCAATTTTATCCAGATGCAACGTTGCAGCAATGAACTCGCCATAGTCAATAGTACCGCTGTTGTCAACGTCTGCCTGCATAGTCAAGAAAACGTGTTGGAACCAAAGAGATGTATAACATACATTTGCCACATCTCTTTAAATGTGGTAGTTTCCTGTTATTCCAAACGCAATGTCGACGTTTAAACCTTCATTTTATCCTATTGACATCTGATCACATATTATATGCAAACATGGAAAAGCAGGAGATTGGAAGTAATACTTACGGCCTTCAGCATATCATATATCTCGGATTCATCAACATTAGCTCCAAATCGTTTTAGACCAGCCTGGAGCTCTTCGAAAGTGATCTGACCACTGCTGTCCGTGTCTAACACTTTGAACATTTCTTTTAACCCTGCGATTTCTTCTTGGGAGAGACTTTCCGCAATGACCTAGAGGAGAAAAAATTGATTCAAAAAAATGTAGAAACTAAGTGCATGTTTGATAGGAAGATTGCACACCGAACGGCGAACACGATAATAACAAGAAGTTAATCCATGTTTTCTAGCATCATGCACTAAAAGAACATAGGAAACATAGATTGTACTCCTGTCCTAAATTTATCGTTGCGTATGCATCAATAATAAACTGAAAAATTAGTTCACTTGAGCAATTACTTTCCGTAAATTCTTAATTGCTCTTACTCAAAAATGATCTTTTTTCTCTCCCTTTTTGAAGATTAAGATGTAAAAAACATACCCTAAGAGCAATTTTCTTGAGCTTGTCCAAGGACGAAAACTGTTTCAAGCGGCTTAAAACTGCAGAGTCAAGAGGTTTGTTGGGAGCTACTCCATCGACCAGCACCCAAGGGTGGCCTGCAGGAAAAATAGTTTTAAACTGGATGGAAGAACTAGATATGTAAAAAGAAATTCTGCACTAAGAAACTAACAATTCTAGAGTTTTTCAAATTTCATCTTAACAGTAGTTCGAATGGATAACAATAAATGTAGAATCAACTTGAGAAATGATATCTGACAGTATATAGTGACTCCCAAAACTTTATGCCCCAAAATAATAAAACACAACTCGAGATCACATGTAAACAGGTTAACACAATCCAACAATGAAAATGACAATGAATCATAGATTCCAAAATTAGCGAAAAGATACTCAACCTTGTACTGTAATCTATTTATATAATTAAGGGTTCCAAGTATTTTAAGCAAAAACATGAAGGGTAATCATTAATTCATTTTTGTCTCGTGCTTAGAACAGTTTCTCTTTAAAACTCATCGTGTTGAATTTTACGCATATATTAACCATAAAGCTAAAACTAATAATAACTTACAAAGAATTTCATGAGCAGTTAGCCTCTTTCTTGGATCTCTTACAAGCATTTTCTTCACCAAATCTTTAGCACTTTGTGATATTTTGGGCCAAGGATCTGATGAGAAGTCGAGATCACCATACAGAACATCTTCAAAAATTTCTTGCTCACTTTCTGTGTGAAATCAAACAGAAGCATGTGAACTGTCAGTGTAAAAATTCAGATGACATCAAACTTGAGCCAAAAAAATAGCTATATCTTACCACCCCAAAATGGTGGCACACCACTAAGAAGGCAATAAATAATCACACCCGCGCTCCATACGTCTGCCTCTGGTCCATAACATTTGCGAAGCACTTCCGGTGCGACATAATGAGGGCTCCCAACCACATCAGTGAAAATTTGCCCTGCAGTTCATACGTGAAAATTAACACTCATTCCTAAAGTTCACAATGAAAATATTCACAGAGTTCATAGTGAAAAAGTCAAAAACTCCATCATTAATTTTAACTAATTATTCTTGTTTTCAATTTTGTTACATAAGTAGGTTTACGACAGATACTTTCCTGACCTGTAAACCATTCCTGACTTGTAAACTATGTTGAATTCAATCATATGATTTCTGATGAATATGTGTTAGAAGATTATAAATCAATCAAAATGAATCAAGAAAGATAATATTTTTGGATATACCTGGTTTGAAGAACGCTGATAATCCAAAATCTATAGTCTTTACGGGCGAATCCTCATCCTCGTTAACAAAGAGAAAATTCTCGGGTTTGAGGTCCCTGTGCATGACTCCCAAAGAATGGCATGATTCTATTACACCAACTATTGTCCTAGTAAGCTCGGCTGCTTTTTTCTCCGAATAATGCCCCTGATTAACAATTCTATCAAACAACTCGCCTCCAGTACACAATTCCATGACAACATGAACAGCCACAGAATCTTCATAAGCACCCTTAATTGAAATGATATTAGGGTGCCCGGATAAATGATACATGATCTCAATTTCTCTCCTCACATCCTCAACATTTTCCATGGTTAACAATTTCCTCTTTGCAATGGATTTACATGCGTACTCTTTTTGCGTTTCTTTCTCCACACAAAGAAAAGTCGTTCCATACTGCCCGTGTCCAAGTTTGTGCCCCAAATTATAATACTCTTTCAAATGTCCTGTTTTGGTTCTTAGCACAGAATCCACCTGAAGACCAGCACTCGCCAGCCTCTTTACGTTGTGAGGTTGCTTGGGTTTTGGGGGCAGAACCGGTTTTCCCTTCTCGTTCATGATCACGATCAAGTGTTCCGGTAAAGTCGTTTGAACATTACTTCCGTCCTTGTCCGTGATCTTGATCACCTCTTCCCATCTTCTAGCCTCAGTTCGTTTTCCCTCCTCCTTAACTATGATCACCATCTCAGATTTCACTGTCTCCTCCTTGTCTATCTTCACCAATTCCGGGGGCTTATTCTGAACTTCTGGCTCTTTTGCAACATTAGATCCTTCTCCACTTATTTCTTTGTTATCATAAGTAATCATATCGGGTGATGTAGACCACCGTAATGAACGAGAAATCGTATAGAATAACCCATCCTCAGAAATCCTTGCACTAACACAATTATTTCCCATCTATTGCTGCTCTTTTCTCCTTTTAAAGAACTGTCGAGAATTAAACTCAAACACCATAAACCTCGTTTAACACTTCCC